GCTGATCCGTGTCGATCAAAATAAACAATTCTATTGGCTTTAGGTCACGTGATGGACACGGCTTTAGACGACCCCCTGATTAGTATACGCAGATCATTTCTATATCCCTGACTGAAATAAGCACTATCCTATTTTTTTTAAATGTGAATTAGAGGAAATAACAATGAGATCTTTCTTTAGCAAAGTTATTCCCGCTAATAAGGCATTTAAAAAAAATAGATTAGAGGGTATGGTGCTTATTTACAGTAGAATATGTATAGATTTAAATTTGTTATTAATTTTTAATAATTGTCACGGATTATCGTGAAATAGGATTATCGTGAAATTTGGATCTATTTTATGTGCGATTTTTGAAAATTTTTAGGGCCTTTTTTGTCGGCTTTTTTTTATAGTTAAGTTGGGATTTAGGGTTAGAATTTTTAATAAAAGAGTATAGGTGGATTTTGGTTGGGCTAATATTTTCAAATTGAGACCCTAAATTTCACGATGATCCGATTTCACGATAATCCGCGACAATAATTGTTATATACTCTCAATTGCATTATAATTACGTATTAGTTATAACGATAATCACGATTAGTTCCTTTTTGATTTCAGGTTGATTATCTGATATATGATCTTTTTTTTGGTTTAATACTAAATTTAAAATTAATATAGAAGTGATCATCAACTCCTTCGTTACTTTCTTCGTTTTTGACGATCACTGATTATCATTTCATCAGAACAGTAAAAAATTCGACGCAGAAAAAGAAAAATTGTCAAATATCTCGAAAATAGGTGCAATAACCTGGGCGTCAAATTTGTAACCCATCAAAACAATCAAATAATACATAGTTATAATATGAAGTTTTACATGAAATTTGTCACCCATCGTGCGATTGGACCCTTAGGATCACACTTAGGGTTCCGTGTAAAGCATATAAAGTGTTATACAAAACGTTTTATTCATATGGGCGGAAATCTTGATTACTAAGATTAAAAGTGATTATTTGTCGGTGATTGTAAAATTGCTTATGAATTGCTTTTGAGTTACTTATCAGTTACTTATCAGTTTTTATGAGCAATGTACCGAACAGATCAGCTAAAAATAACCCAAAACTGATCCGTTACTTATCAGTTTTTATAAGTATTACTTTGTTATATCACCTAATTTTATATAGTCACAGCACTCCACTAAAAATTTCCGCCCATATGGCATAGGCTGCCACTTTATTAGTAAAAATTTATTAATTCCGGCCTATTTCGACCCAAATTCGGGCCGATTTGCTGAATTTTGGTGGACCCTCTAATCTAATCTACTCGTTGGTCAGTACGGTAATTCAAGGGTCGGAAATGACCGGATCGTAATTCTGGACACTCTAGTTCCTGTAGTAGTTTGGCACGTTTCTCGTAAAAAATGTATGAAATGAAACTTTTCGTGGTGGCAGTTCATTATAAGATCGAGATTTGAATCCCTATTTAGCTCTATAATTTCTACTAAGATCCACACATACTCTTTTATTAATACTGTATTAACACTAATCCTAAATCCTAACCTAACTATAAAAAAAAAAATAACCACAAAAAAGACCCAAAACTTTTACAAAATAAAATAAATCAATAATCTCAGCATAAGCTGCCGTAATAAAGTCTTTTGTGGGATCATCATATTATATCGTCATAAAATACGTATTAATACCATTATCATCATATATTAATAATTACAATATATACTTATTATATTACATCTTTGTTATCTCTTACAGTATCAATCCGTAAAAACAAGAATCAAGTATCTATTATATATTTATATTATACAATCAGACAAAAGACTTCTTTCTTAAAGGGAATTTCCATTAAAATGTACAAACCCTACCACTAATCAAGGAAATTTAGTATTATTTTTAAATCTTAAGATATTATATTCATTCATCTTATTCACTGCTTGAAATAAATAACTTTGAGAATAATAATCCAATCTAACTCTAAAGATATAAGGAAATTTTTCTTTGCAAGTGTTAACAATGTACATTAACAAATCATAATTTACAGCATTAGCTAGTTCATTTAAACACAACATATCAGTTAACGTATGAGTATGCACCGCATTTTCAACTCCTACAGGCACTAATCCAACACTGACCATTAAAAGTTATGATGTACAACTTAGTTAAAAAAAAAAAAAAAAAAACTCAAAATGTTGGGAAAAAGTATTTATAAGTAACTTACGTATTATCAATAGTTTGCCATCTAGTGTATCCATAAACTTTCAGATCATCAGCTTGCAATGCAGTGGAATTATTACAGTGTTGAATAAAACTTGCATTTAATTGTTGTGCAGTAAAAGCATCTTTTGTGTATGAAAACGATGGTACATAATAAGGATCTATTTGATTAATCCAAGGCTTCCTATCGTTCCCTAAAGCATCATATAACTCTACGAACCAGATTACAATTCTTTGATCAGTTTCAATCATTTGGCGTAAAGTTGGCCATTCACTTTCATTTTTTGAACTCGCAGAAGGGAGTATTAACATCTGAGAATGACCTGTTGTGGAATTCGTAAAATATTTTTCTAGGCGTGATTGAATTGAGTGTGCAATTATATTATATGTTGTACTCAAATCATTAACATGTCCAAACTCTAGAGTTATTATTTCATGAGGATTTTGGTCCATGAAATTTTTAATGTCTGTAAACACAGGATCAAGTTCAAGACCTGCCGCGCGATATAAATCTTGACCATGGCAAAATATTACCGTCTTGTTATCATTTTTAAGACACATCTCAAAATTTAATAAACGAACACCTATAATATCAAATATAAGTATTACAAATAAAGATTTGAATCAAATCGTGCAGAGAATAAGGTCAAAATACCATCATTGAGTTGCCTTAATACAGGATAGCCAGCGTTATTTTCCCATAAACACGTAATCAACCAATTTGGTATGCGAGAGTTGCAAGTATTTGCCCATGCTTTACAAATCTTTGAAGTTTCCGTGCAGCCAAAAAGCCAGACCACACACCAAGCATTGGTTGATTTACAAGTATTATCCAATATATTACACATCCAATGCAAGTATTTCGGTTTCCATCTTTTGCAAATTGATGTTTGTGCTTCACAATGAATTTTATAGTTTTTAGTGCATTCGAAATATTCTTGTTGGCAAGCAACTGTTGTTTCTAGACAGCTCTTTGCTGAAGATTCACAATCGAGTTTAAGATTGTATGACGCGCTATTGTGAGTTCCTGGATATGTCTAATCAATTATAAAGGAGATGATAAAGTAAAATTCAAGATCATACTAATTGATAAAAGAAAATCAAGATAATATACCACTTGGTTATACCGTAAGTCACAAAGATCAGCGTTACCATTGCATAATAATGTATTATTAGTAGTAACTGCATTCGTCGTATTTGTTGTATTGGTATCTCTTTTTAAAATTTGGGAATTTTGAAGATTCTCTGCGAATGCATTTGTAAATAGAACATGAATGATTAAAATAATGGGCGCAATCTGTAAACAAAATTGAGCCAAATCCATTCTTCCTAATGTGTCAGCTTATCAATCAAATATATATGCTAAGAGGAAATATAAAAATGGCCCAATTTTTAAAGGAAAACTTGCCTTGTAATTTGAATAAACGAATATCTTGAATATTTATTGAATATACTGTGATACGTATATAATTTATTTATGGAATCGATTTTAATGTATATTCAAATTATGGACGATAATAGTAACAGTAGGGGGATGCCTCCTTAATAATGAGACGTAACAGTCGTAGCTATTGTATATATTCATAGTAAGTAAATAAGGTCATCTTTATCCTAATTCTATTCTTACGACCCCGGAGTGTTTGTATGACTAACTTTCAAATGACTGCCAAGTACATCCTGTACTGCAATTGTACAATCATAACGGTTAATATTAAATAAATTTAGAGTCAAACAGTTACAAGCCATGGCTTTTCAGATTTGCTTAGACATTTTATAAAGAAGTCTAAGCCGCGTCATTACAAATATCATGTGTATGTATATCGCGGATATATTATATACGTATAAATAAATAAATTATCGTTATAGGTATAATATATATATATAAAGTATAGATGTGTTACATATCAAAATTGATACTGTACGTAGTATACGTAGTACGTATATTATATGATCTTAAGCACAAAAGGAAATATTGAGTTTAAATGGATTATTTAATTTAAAAAAAAATTAAAATAACAAATAGGATATACTTATTGATTAATGCTTCTCAAGGATAAGAAAGTGATCATATAGTATTTGTACGTAAGAATCACGAATGATTATTGCTAAACATATATGGAGAAAAATTTTATAAATACAGTATAATGCATAAATGTTAAATGTACTGAGATGATCTTAACATCCATCTCTCATGGACAATCTAAACGAAACCATAGAATTTGGACGTTCTTGGCGTTCGAAATTTCTTTTAGAAAATGATTATATTCCTCTCAACCAAGGATCATTCGGTGCCTATCCTAAGGCTATACAAAAAGCATTGCGTGGCTATCAGGAAAAGTTTGAATCCAATCCTGATTTATGGATTCGAAGAAATCTCGAAATAGAATTAACTAAGGCTAGAGATGCAATTGCCGAATTTGTAAATGCAGATGCGGATGACGTTGCTTTTGTGCTAAATAGCACTACTGGAATAAATGCTGTATTGAAAAGTTTAGTTTATGAATCGGGTGACAAAGTAAGTGTGTAAAAGTGATAAGGCATAAAGTAGGGTTATTACATTTTTTATATTGTATATATTAATTATATTCAATAGATAATTTATTTTTCTACGAATCATACTGCCGTGAAAAATTTATTACAATTTATTCGTAATCTCAATTATGATAAACTGGAACTTTTGAAAATTGATATTAATTATCCTATTTCCGATGAAGAATTAATTTCCAATATCATTAAAGTTATTCAAGAAGAACAACAAAAGCCAAATTCAAGAATCAAGCTGGCATTTGTTGATGCCATATCTTCCATCCCTGGTTGGTTAAACATGAAAATATTCCATTTATTTATATTATGTATTAATAAATATTAACCTACTTTTTAGGTGTTATCTTACCTTTAAAACAAATATTAACAATTTTACGAGAACACAATATTCTTTCTGTGGTTGATGGTGCTCAATCAGTTGGACAAATTCCAATTGACCTAAAAGACCTTGATCCTGACTATTTTGTGTCAAGCTGTCATAAATGGTTATATTGTGCTTATAGTGTCGCCATCCTCTACGTTTCAGAAAGGAACAAGAAAAATTTACATCATCCTGTCACTTCAGTTTATTATAATGAAGGATTTCCTCGTGAATTTTCCTGGGTTGGAGCCCAGGATTATTGGTATTCATTTTTTTTTCTTCTCAAAGATTTAATTTGTTATTTTACACAATACAAACTTAAATGTTTTTTTTTATTAGTCCCTATTTGACGGTCCTCTCTGCGCTGGAGTTTCGTCGGGAAATCGGTGGAGAAGAAAAAATTCGTACTTATTGTCATGATTTAGTTGTCAAGGGTGGAAAACTAATTGCTTCGATTCTTGGCACTGAAATCATAGGCCCAGAACATATAATTCCAAATATGATTAATATCCGTCTCCCCGTCGATATTTCTAACGAAAAAATTTCATTAGAAACACTCAATAATCTTTTATTTGATAAATATAATTGTTATGTATCACCGTTCAAACATAATGGTTATTGGTACGTTAGAGCCAGCGCGCAGATTTATAACGATTTGTCTGATTTTGAAAAAGTCGGTAAAGCTTTAAGAGAGATTTGCGAGAATTTTAATAAAATGATGGAATAAAACTTTTCAATTTTAACAAAAACTACAATTTTATACAAAAGAGCTAAATTTTAAGGAAATATAGCATCATTAATAACGTATTATTATACTATAGAATAAGACATTATAAACTTTCAAAATTAATTAAACAATTATTATAAAACTTTAAATTCTAATTTTGTCAAGCATTAATATCACATCTGATCCATAAAAAAAATACAATCTGTAAAAAAAAAAAGCACAAACTCATTCGTCCAACAATTCCTTTTTCAATTTCCCTAACATTTTACGTCCTTTCTTATGATCATCAACACTTCTACCGACACGACTTTGTGGTCCGAATTGTTTCTTGGTGACAAAATTCCATTGAACCATAACCCATGATGTGTGATAAGCGAGACTATCATAATATTCTGATGCGATTCTACGTACTTCTGGAAGTTTTGACCATGGTACCTTAATCAAATTCAATGATCGTATTAGTCAACGTGATTAATTGATAGCTAAATATATTCTTTAAATAAATTACCTTGGTAAAATCGTGATGTTCATTATGATAACCGATATTCATGAAAAAATAATTCAATATTCCATAATATGAATAAGTTTCCTGACCATCATCAAATGTATAATGTTCTTGAATAAAATGTGCAGCTGCTGGATGTAAACCATATCCCAACCATAATGATAAAACCAAATAAAGAAATCCTCTAAGACCACAAAAATAATAAACCAAAATATTGGTAGTGATAGTAAAAACCCAATTAACATATTCCCAAAATTGTGGACTTTTTTGCATAATCACCCCTCTAGCTACGTACATTACTGGATAAATGCTCAACCAAACAAATTTAAGAAACGAATTACCACGAATCATTTTCCATTCCCATTCCATTGGTAAATCAGGATCCATACCTACAACTCCTTGAAACGTGTGATGTTCTAAATGATATCGACGAAAGGACATGGCAATCGGAAATGGTAAGGCTATATTCGCTATTAATCCCACAATCCTGTTTTGAAATCTGGTTGGTGCTGCAAGACTATGTGTCGCCTCATGAATTATTACTCCATAAAGTTGTGTTAAAGATGCTCCAACAAAGTAACAATAAATAAGCATAGTCCAATTCCAGTCGGTAAGAATTCGTCCAAAAACATACGATGCCACAATTTGTGCCGCTGCTGCTACGATTACGATTGGGACGGTGGAAACATCATATCCATATAATTTCTCTATGTCTGGATGCTTTTTCAGAATTGTGACTTTTCGTTTCATATGAGGTTCATCTAGATTATCAGTTGCAATATCTTCATCGACGTATGGAATAGATTTTTTCCAATCCCCAATATATAGTGGTTGACGACGATCTGGATTTCCCTGTTCTTTGGGTGGTAAAGGACAATCATCCTTGAAGTTTTCCGTAAATAATGGTGGCATCGCTTTATCAAAAAAAGAAGAATTGCACTTAAAAAAGGGATTATGACAATTCTTTTTTTTTTTTTTTTTTTTGAGTTCCCCCAAAGAATGATTAAATCAGAAAATTAATGAATTTCATCTAAGTCTAAATATTGCATTTGAAAATGTGGGCTTATATAAAGATTGTCTTTGTGGTACAGTTTACATTCCTAAACATCAAAAAAACTTGGATTTCTACGCCAATCGATTATTTGCAATCGTCGAAAATCAGATGTACGAGATGGTAATTACAAGATATAAATTTGGCCCCAATATTCGGGGGTACTAGCCCAATCTAGATCATCTTTATGTAGAAAAAAAAAAAAAAAAAATTACAGCAAATAGATAAATTGGGAATCAAATTACTGTTATGTAATTTCTAAATGCAGTATGACGGATTATATTGCAAAAACCAACTGCTATAGTCTTGAGTGCTGTCGTTACAAACAAATCTTTTTTTTTTTTTTTATTATATAATAGTCATGGGACATTTCCCTTACGGGTGTTCAAAATGTTATTAAATAAAACATGGCCACTCAATTTTGTATGAAAAATTCGTGTTCGTTTAACGTTACTTATAGGGTAATCCTGTATTCGTGCAACATTTTTTTACTAATGCTTTGGGTAGCTATAATCATGTATTAATTGATTAATAAACTTATAAAAAAATTTTTATAAGAATATCATAATAAAAGGTATTAGTCAGTCAAAGGAGTATAGTATACAGTATTATACGAGATGTATTTATTTATTGAAAACCTATATATGAAGTATAAATTTTAAAATATTATTTAAAAAAAAATTAAACCTAGTGTATAGTAAAAAATTTATATTTGTAATAAATAACTTCGATTAATAAAGAGTTAACACATACGGAAATCTGGAAATCGGAAATAATTAATTTTTATTCTTAACAAAGATATCTTAGTTAAATGGCTTCGTTCAAAACCTGAAAATACTGCTCAAAAAAAAAATCTTTTTTTTTTAAATTTGGTTAATCAAAAGATCTAATAGAAAAATAGGAATTTGAAGAAATTTTGTAGATTTCTGTGTGATGGATATAACTCAATATATAAAACATATGAAAACATATGAAAAAAAGAAATTTATTCTGCTTAAATATGGGGATATAACTCTGCTTGGGATATAAACCAGTGAAGATATAACTCTGGTATGACTGTATTACAAAGCGCAGTAATATATATCAAATTATATATATATTGCGAAATCGGCTAATTTATTGAAGATTTTGAATTCAATTTAATAAATACCGGTAGATTTAAAATTGACTCAGAATTAATTAATAATTTTTGTTATACGGCATTTTCTATTTATCGGATTTTGCATTTACCAACTGTTATCCGGCATTATTATCATTTTTATGCACGTGAGTTACGCACATTATCTGAATTATTTTAAATTCGTACGTACGTACGTACCGGATTTAAAATATACACAGCGTGCGTAACTCACGTGCATAAAAATTTAAAATTTCAAACCCGGTCAACAGTTGGTATGCAAAATCCAATAAATATAAATGCCAAATAATCCAGTTATTCAAGCACGAAGTACTCATAACTAGTGTTCTAATACTAGTAAAGCGCATTAGAACACTATTGTACCTTACCGGAATGGTCGAATTTTGCGCACCTTCTGCTTAAAATCGACCAATCAAATAGCATACCTCAGTTATTCGTCACTTCGTGCCGAATAACTATTAATTATTGGATGGAAGTAATCTGGATGTTCTTAAAATTACATATCCAAAGCGGAGTGTAGTGATACGAATCGAAACAAATATTGTAATCGATTAGTTGGTTGAAAATTTTTTAAAAAATCGATTACAAATTGATTATTGCTAGATCATTAAAAAAAAAAGTAATCAGAGCTTATTGTTATGCATAATTTAAGACGGGGCACAAAGTGGAGATTGCCATTTTTCATTTATCAGAATTAGTCCCTAACCAAAGTCGGTCAATTAACTCATGCAATGTATGCATGTACGACAGAGTATCGAATCCCTTAAAACTTATTTTTAACGATTTTAGCCTTACATGGCTCTATAACTCATGATACATACACTTACATAATTTATAGAAATTCTTTATCGTGCTTCTATTATCAATAGAAAATTCTTTATGTGCATCAATCTCTCATAGGAAACTTTTGATGTAAGAGCGCATGCTTCTGTTTCTATCTAACCTTTCTAGTTTCAGAGAAGAAATAAAGGAAAATCTATAAAAAGGGTAGTATATGAAATTAATTTTTGTATAATTCTGCTATATCTTAAAATTCTCGCAAATTTTTTTAACCTAAAACTCGACTTTTTTAACATGTCAAACCAATTCTCTAGAATAGTGTCACTTTTATTAGAAGAATTGTTAGATGCTATTTGTTCTGCATCAGTCGTTTATCTGGCAATAGTTGATAATACTTTGGATGAATATGAAGATGTTAGAGACTTAGCGGAGCATGTGGTAAAAAAAGCATTAAAAGAAATAAATGATTCTGATCGAAGAGAAAAAGTAACGGAGATTCTACCCCAGGTTAGTAATATATGTTAGGCTTTTCAATATCTATAATTTGCATGAAATGATGAATTTATAGCAGAAGAATGAGCTGTATATATAAGTGGTCATTGCTAAAGACCGGGGAATGCCGGCCCGGAAGAGCGATGTGGTGAAGAATT